GGATTTACATTAATCAGTTTTATTAAAATTCTTAAATGAAATCTTCACTATCCGAAAATTCAGTTTCATTTCCAGCTGAAACTGTATCAGGACAATCTCATTTATATTATTTCCCTCTAACAACTGAACATTTTGAAAACCTTTTCTATTCCATGGAAAACTAATGCTAAATTAAACATACATTTTCTAAATCTGAAAATTTTAAGTTAGCTTAGAAACTGTAATCATTCTTAAAAAAGTTTGATTTATGCAGATGTTAGATCAATAAAATTACTTTCCTGTGAAAAAGTAATATGGCATTGAACAACACGATTTTACACATCAAGATATACTGAGTGAAAATTCCTGAAATGTTTTATTTCTTGGTATCTCTGCAAGAATTGTATAAATAAGACTACCTCCCTTTTTTTTAAAAAAAATGTTTAGTAAATACTATGAAGAAAATTGGTTACATTATTTACAGTTCATAATTAATAGAAAATAAATCATTTCTTAGCTTATCAGAATTTATTTTTATCACATTCATAAACAGTACTAATTTAAACAAACATACCATTATGATTTCAATAACTATGAAATAGAAAATCCAAATCTGCATCTTTGATGGTCTAGTAGATTGGACGTCTCGTTTACTACAATTCAGCAGGGTGCTGACTCCCCAGACTGTAATATATATATATAATTAATTTACAAGGGAAAAAGCAACAAAAATATAAACAATTTCTTGGTTTTATATAAGCATTTCTGCACATTTACAATTTTTAATTTTTTTAACTATCTAGTTATATCAAAATACATGATTTAGTAAAATATAATTCAAATAATTTAAGGTATTTTAGATCAAATACTAATTTTTCAATAAATTTTTTCATGCAAGTCTAATAATCAACATAACTATCAAGTTTTGACTTCGAAAATTATGTTTAGAGAAACTTGAAGCTGCAGTAAATAGTAATAAATTTATTCAAAACTGAAAGTAAAGCATTCTTACTTTATTTTCTTTCTTTAACTATGGCAGATCTTTTAAAACAACAAAATCAAACAAACAAAAAAGAAATGCATTCATGAAAGGACTTACTTATTATTCATGAAAGGATATATTTCAGTAATTACAAGTGCATAAAAATTCAGTATATATATAAAAAAAAATGAACACAGATTTGGAACAAAGTACCTGTGTTTCTATGGCATAAAATTTCCTTTTTTAATAGCACAATATCTTTGAGTTAAAGATTATATATTAAAGCAAATTTATAAAACTAAATTCAAAAATAAGAAATTAAATTATTTTTAGGGAAAACACTAAGCAAATAAAAAATTTTGAATTTCATAAATAAATGAAAGTTACATGCTTTATTTTTTGGCATAAGGTAGATAACATTTCCATAACAGATTTCTGAACAATTAGTCATGTTAATATTGCCTTTCTTTTTCCATTAAAAGCTATTTCCTGCTTAATTACAGTATGCTTTAAGATAAATATTAAAACGTTTGAGTAAAAATAATATAACTATAAAAAGGTGAGACACATACAAAAAGGAGTGACACAAACAGTAAGAAAACAGACTAGTGCAAAATTTAACAGTACCAAATCCTGAAAATGAATCATTAGGCACGTACACAAAAGAACAACACATGGAAAATCACATTTCCTACACAGACGCTATTTATAAAATTTTATATAGGTGAAGAAAGTACGAGTATTAAACACTGAAAATATAAAATATTCACTTACTTTCTTCAAATATAACTTCGATGGATTCAGTCACAAACGCCAATCCACGAACAAACAGTATTCTTTGCGACTTTACCATTCTTTTCGACCGCCATTGCTGAGTGCTGACTTCACAAATATCCCGCCACAACCGGAAGTAGAAAGTGTCTGCTTTGCCATTGGTCAGTGAACAAGAATTGCAACGCTTTTTTTTTTTCTTTATAATTAAACATATTAAGAAAGCCTCTAAATTAGCATATGAAATAAACTTACTTTTGCATTATATAAATTTATATTCACAGCATCTCTGTATTAAGGTAATAATTAAATTTTTCTACGAAAAATAGAAATGTCTGTGTATGCGCATGCTCAGTGTATAATCGTAAATCCGGTTAATTTTTATAAGTTAGCGTAAAATTAACTATGCAAATTTTGAGTTCATTTAACTGGACCCTTGTACTTATTCTGTAGATCTCCATATTAAGAATGTCTTTAACTGTTTCAGGAAAAATATAAAATATAATATAATTATTTATTTACATTATTTATTTATTTTTTCCTCATATAAAAATTATTAAAATCGCTATATCATTTTTTCCGTACATTAAACAAAAAAATTTTAAAAAATTAGCCTCATATGATTTTTATAACAAAGATTAAAGGAACTGAAATATATGTAAAATATCAGGATTCAGCTTGCAATTTCGTAGAGTTATTATTATTATTATTAAATAAAAATATTAGTATATCTTTGATTATAATTAATGATCCTTTGGTCTACATTAAACTATTGTTCAAGAAGTTAAACGTTTTCGAGCATCTTCTGCTGTATTTATTATTCTATTCCTCGACATGAAAGATTTGCTAGTCTTATTCCAATTTAATTGCCCACATTTGCTAAATAAAATAAGGCGAGAGTATTGTACCAAACTCAGTAAGTACACAAATTTAATATACAGCTTATTCCAGTTAAATGGGTAATAGGATTTTCATAAAAGAAATTAAATTGTGTAAATTAATGTAAGTGTTGATATGAATAAAAATAACAAATTTGATATAAGAAAATAAATAAGTTATTTTGAAGATGTTTGAATTAAGAAAATATAATTTTTTGCAAAAATGCACGTAAAGATTTAGCTCACATGTTAAAATTTATAGAAAAATTTTAGCCTCATATATGAATGCCCCTTTTTTCATGTTCGTGGACAAGGAAAACAAAGTGAAATGCCAGAAATACACTAAATATTTTGAATTAATAAACTTCATTTTCAATCTTTTTAGACTTCGTATAATATCCGTAAAAGTGACGAATGAAATATACCATAAAGGCAGTAGTTTCTTTCAGAACATTCGGATTCGTATAATATGCGTAAAAGTGACGAATAAAATATACCATCATGGCGGTAGTTTTATCAGTACATTCGGATTCGTATAATTTTCGTAAAAATAACGTGTGGAAAATAACGATCAAGAGTCAACAGTAACTTCAGCCTTTTTCATTCGTATAAATTTCGTAAAAGTAACGTGCAAAAAATACCATACCCTTATTTCACCAAAATTATACGTATATTTTTGGAGACGTGCTGCCTGGGAAATATTGAACTGTGTGAAAATTGTAAAAATTCACTCTGTATGTACTATAGCGACTTGTAAGGACAGTTTCTGTTCGTACTGCATTACTAAATTTGTTTTGTTTTTTGACAGTGAGGAAACTTGAAGTCGGAAATACTCATCACCTTCTCTTAATTATAAAGGGATTATGTAAATCTGAATTTTATTTGAATGGTAAATATTTATTCACGAGTTTATGATAAAGCTTTTATTTGTACGTTTATTGTGACTTTGATATGTTATTGGGGAATGTAAGAAAATGTATTTAAAAACAATTAATTTTGTAGCTAGGATATATATATTTAGGAATATGTTTTTGGCCCATGACAGATCCAATTAATGAAATATAAATTGAAATATGTAAATCAAACCTGGTTTGGGAAATCAATTTTGTTGTATTGTACTTAACTATCAAAATGTTCATTAGAAAGTAAGATTAAAAACGTGTAGTTTATCAAAAGTTTGCATGTGATTATCGTGCACCAATACTTCTACACAACACTCATCTGGATGATGTGGAGGGCACGTGATTAAGTGGGATTGGTATTTAACTGCTGCTTGGAGAAAGTAAGGAATAATTCTTGCACTTACTTTACTCCGAAACTACATAGGTTGCTCATGATCTATTGTTGTTAGTATTTATGCAAAGGGAATAAATGCAAGTGAAACCAGCAGTAGGCACCAAGTTATTGGACATCCATGCAGCATCATCAAATTAAAAAAGAATGTCAGAGACTGTCTTGCTTGGTACAGCAAGATCTGCACCAGACAGTGGCTCAGCTGACAGTACAATATAATGCAGGTCTAACTGCAAGCATTTCAGAACACAAAGTTCAGCAGATGCTGTTGAATATAGGACAGCGCAGCAGACATTCCACTCATGTGCCTCTACAAATCAAGTGTCATTGTCAACTATGACTACAGTGAGCCTGGGAACATCGAGACTGAACCGTGCATAAGTGAAAGTCTGTTCGGATGAATCACGATTCCTCATTCATCAAATCAATGGCTGTGTTAGGGTATGCCATGTTTCCAGGTGAACAGTTGCTCCTCTCCTGCACAGTATGTCATACATAGGCTAGTGATAGCAGTATTATAATTTGGAGGACACTTTCGTGGGTGGCTCTGGGACTCTTAATTGCTGTAGAACAGACCGAGAAAACTGTGGACTATCTGAACGTAATTGCGGATGAGTTGCACCCTTACATGGCATCTGTCTTCCCAACTGGAATTGAATCTTCCAGCAGGACAATCCCTTACCTAACAAGGCTCGAACTGTGTTAAGAGTGGTTTGAGGAACGTAACAAGGAATTCCAAGTAATGTTAACTCACAGGATATTAACCTGATACAGCACATCTGGGATATCATGGAACGGCAGCTTAGAACTCAAACATCACCATGTTGGAATATCTCAACTATGCACGACTGCTGCTTAGACATGTGGTACAACCTGTCTCCAGTCATCTACCAAGAACTTGTGGCATCCATGCCAAGAGAAGCTGCAGCTGTTTCACAGGCCAAAGGTCACACAATGTATTATTAAGTAGTAGTTGATCAGAATATTTTGGCTCATCAGTGCATTTTTCAAACGCTGACAGAGGCCTGCAATGTTTGTAAACATTATATGAAATTTATAAAAAATCAACAAATAGCAATTGAAAAGTATATACTTACGTAAAGGAACATAAAAATTATATCTTGACATTCCATCAGAAACACAAGATAGTCTATGTGGAGAAGACCTTGTAAAACTTAAAGTGGAAGTACTTCCGTAGGGGGGTGAATTAGATGTTGCAGGAGAAGCACCGGAAGAATCTTCACAACAACTTTCAACTATATAAAACAAAAGTGAATATATATTACAGAAGAAAATTATCAAAACTTTTAACCATCATTATCTTCATCTACAACACATATAAAAATACAAATTGCTCTTTTTGCATTAACAGATACATAACAAGATATATACTATGAAAACTAATAAAGAAATAACAGAGCTCTTCTTACAATTCTGGTCAACAATTTAGTCTGTAATGAAACATCAACTAATTGTAACACTAAAACAAAGGATTAAGCATGGATTGCAGTTACTTCAATAATAACAAAATATACATATAATATAGCTGTCAAAATCTTAACTAGGAGAAACTAAGATGTTTTCACACTGAGCAGCTACCATTAACTCCAAACTGACTTTACTTTGTTTTAGAATCCATGATTCAAATTATTGAAGCATTTTAAAATTCTGATATAAAATATTTTAGCACTGAATTAGATGTTCTAAATTTTGTGTTCTATTGCCAATTTCATTTTTTAATTTTCTCACACTTTCATATTGAGAAAATCCCAAATAGTAGAGCTTCATTTATTGAAGTACTTTTAAATATGATGAAAATGAATTAAAAATTAATGCACATATTATTTATAAGGATAAACAAAGTTATGTGCCATTACTGAAGGAAAATAAAATTAAATACAAATATTACTTGAATCTTCACATAAAAATCTATAAATGTCTACAATAGGTTAAGACAACTCAGATCAAATGAAATTTAATAAGATAAAAAAAAATGTAATAAAAATACAATTCAGTTGAAATAAAATTTAGTAAGAAAAATTACTCTGAAAATTATCAGAGGTGTGGGAAAGCAATTTGCCTAATTTAAGGCTCATTAACTCAATAAAAGTCAAGATCCATTTGGACTGAGATGATACAAAATTGATTAAATATTAATGACTACTTCCTGCAATTTTCATTTAAAAGAAATGCATGTAATTAAAAAGAAAAGCATTTTGAAAAAAAATTATCAATAGTTAATTACTCTGAAGCTATCATAATTGTTTCAGATTAACTTTCTAAAGAATATCAAATTTTACCTTTAGACATGCGAGGCAAAGATGACTTATGCCTAGGAGACTTTGCAGACTCTGAACACCTGCGAATCCTTTTACTTTTCTTTTTCCTTTTTGAGGGTGTGTGATCATCTGTTTCACTTTTTTGCCTTTTCAGAAAAACATGAGATATATTGTCCTTAGGTTTCTCATTTACAGTCTTACAAACAGCAAATGCAAGTGTAGTAGCTGCTCGATATTCCTCACTTCCACGCATTACAGTCCTATTTGAATTACAACGGTATATTTCTGATTCACCTTCACACGACTCCCTCCCTGACTGTGTGCTTTCTGGATAATTCATTGAGAAGGAATCACGTTCATGAGAGGGAGAACTAGATAATAGTGACTCGGTGCTTGATGGAGTTGTAGGTGGCGTATTGTCTAACACTGCACTAGTGTCAATATTATGTTTGTTAATGGTGTCCGATGATTCTAAGTTATCGATACATGGATATACATTTGGTAAAGGAAGTCTTTCAATTTCTGAATTCACTCTACTCCCATCAATGCTGGAAGAACCAGATGTATCATCAGCAATGTTACTGATACCAACAGGACTTGCAGGGACTTTCTCTTCACATAATAAGAAAGACATATCTGGATCATCACTTTTGGAGTCTTGCCTTAGAACAGCATCTGCAGCAATGGGAACAGTACTCAAATCTTTATTCTGTTCCTTGAAAAACTTATCTGTAGCATCATCAGATGATGAACAATCTTTAACTTTAAATTTTTTTCTCTCTTTCTTTTTCTTTTTATCAATTAATTTGGTTACAGTTTCTTTATCAGAATCTGAATCTTGATTGTCTTCAATGTGTGGTTTTCTCTTTTTCTTTGTTTTCTTTTCAGAAAAATCTTTTCTATCATTGCCTAACTTATCACGATTTTTCTTTCCTTTCTTTTTCTTTGGCAACTCAACTTTTGTATCAGAAAATTCATCACTCTTCATACCACTCTTGAGAAACTTTTTATCACTTTTTCTTTTTTCTTTTCTCTTCATTTTATCTAATGTAAAGTCTTTGTGATCATCATCTTTACTTTCCATTTTTTTAGCATATTCGGCAAACTGGTCATCATGCTTTGGAAAACGCTTTTTATTTTTGTTTTTCTTTAATTTTTTAGATTTAGATTTAAGATCACAATCCTTCCCTTTATCAGCCTCTTCATTCTCTAATCGCACACGCTTTTTGGATTTACTTTTCCCATCTCTAACTTTAAAATCTTTTTCTTCTTTTTCATAACCATCTAAACCACAAACTTTCTTTCCCAACTTTTTACCTAATTTTTTCTTTTTCCCTTCTTTTTTAGACTGATGACTAAAGTTAACATCATCTTCTGGAATAACATTATCATCAGAGCTTGATTTATTTTCAGATACTGTGCTAGTAGTCAAATAGTCATCTTTCTGCTTGTCCAAAGTAATCTTCTCAACCCTATCCATCCTTTCTAAATGAACACAACTTTCTTCTTTGAAAGAAAATTCATCAGAAACAGCATTTGACAATACTAAATCTTCTTGTTTATTATTACCTTCTTCTTCAACAGGGGATAATTCTCCACTATTAGAAGGCATTATTTTAGGGTTTTCAGGTACACGCATTATAACACTGCTATGATTAAAATTGCTACTCGAATTTCTTATCTTGAGAAGATCATCAAATAGGGAATCTTTGTTCTCAGATACATTGCTACTTATTTTTACTTTATCATTTATTGCTTCAGACACTTCAGAAATTTTGTCACCTACTTCAGCAACACTAAGACTGTTTTCACAATTTTCCATTGCTAATGCTGTATCAACAGTTAGTTTACATTCTTCTTTGGATAATGTATCTGCTTCAGAAACTGGTACATCAGTCTTATGCTCATCACATTTACTGGCTACAGCAGTTACTTCACTTTGTAATATATCTTTTTTAATATCCTTAATTTCTGGAGTTACTGGAAGAGTTTCATTAGTAACAGAAGAGGTAACAACAGTAATAACAGAAGTTTTCTGACTGTTATTTAAATCCTCTTTTTTAGTAAAACTACTTGTATCATCAGCTTTCACAGAAGTAACAGATCCATAAATGACTTCAGAAATTTTATCAGGAGAATGTTCTCTTACAACAGGAAGCAAATTCTGAGAATTTGAAACAGGAAGAGCATTAGAAGCATCAAATTTATCATTAATAATTAAATCTTTCGAATCTGTATTTGAGTCATTTGTATCACTCAAATCTTCACAAATGCGTAAAGAATTTGAAGAATCGGATCGAGAAAGACTTTTAACAGGATCCTGAGAACCACGAAGAAAGTCAAAATTAAGCTCTTCTTTCTGTGGAGGAGGTGAATCTGTAATTTTTAAGTCTGCAACAACATCTTTTTTCAAGCGTTCAATTATACCAGGAATTGTTTTACTCAGATCAACAGTTTCTGAAGGTTTTGGTTTGATTCGACATAAATTTTCACCGGCTAAAAGTTTGTTATATGGTTGATCTAACATGAATTTATCTTTAGAAGCAGAAAATGAGAGCGAAAATATATTGTCTTTAACAAGTGTTTTCTTCTGTTCTTGAGTAAAACTATTATTTCCAGGAGCTAAAAGATCAAAACTATCTTTACTTTTCTTTTCAAAAGTATCATTGTTCACAGCACTCAGTTTTGCTGGACTAAGAATACTTGGTTTCACAGCACTAATATTAGTCGTTTCAAGAAGATTTGTCTTGTTGTCAGGACACTTAAGTTTCTCATCTTTCTGAACATCAGAATTTTTATCCTCACTAATAACTTTTATATTTGTGTCACCTTCAAATGAATGTTTTACATTGTCAGGGGCTACTTTTGCAGTATCTGGTTTAACAATACAACTGTAAATGTTTCCAATATTTTTGCAAGCATAACTTTCCTCACTCTTAATAGATTCACAGGTCTGAGAATTGCTTAACATGGTGGAAGAGCTAAAAACAGATGTAACTTTTTCTGGTCTTAATGTATCTAAAGCAGATTTTGATTCTGTATTAGTTTTTTCTTCAATGTTTGAAGAATTGGGAACTGAATCAATACATGGTTCAACTTTATCAACTGAATCAACCATACAAATTTTAGGAGGCCCTTTTTCAGGAATAACACTTTTTTCAAAAGCACTTTTTTGGATAAGCCCATGCAAGCCTGCAAAGCTTAAAGTAGTTTTATGTTCAGTCAAAGGTGGAACACTCAATTCATAAATATTTTTAGTCATATAATCTGCTACAGAAGTACTACTAGTAGGCAAAGGATTACTTAAAATGTGACTAAAGACTGGAGACTTATCTAATTTATTATCTGAAGATGCAGATGACACAGAAGGAAAAATTATTTTAGCAGGTTTAATGATATCAGAATATGTCCTTTTGGTTACAGGATTAGAAGGAGTTTCAACTGCAATAGTCTTTTTCTCAATTTCTAGAACAGGTGATGATAACTTAATACTAGTATCAATGGACCCTGAAATGCCATGGCCCATTCTGAAAGAAATTTCACAAGTATCTTTTTCAACTTTGGGCACTACAGGATGTTCAATTTCAGGAACAATATCCAATTTAATTTCTTCTGATGTTTCCTTTTTAAGAACAAGTTTTTCTTCAGGAATATCATTTTTCTTACAAACAGAACTAAAAAATGAGTCTTTAATATCATCAGCATTTTCTTCTACCGATATAGCTTTCTCAAGTTCTGTGATGTCACCTCTTTTAACATCTTCCAGTTTTTCTTTTTCCTCATCATCACTGAAAAGTTCTTCTTTGAAACAACAATCAGTTGGTGCAGCAGAATTATCCTCCACATCAGCTTCACCTTCATCAACATCTTCATCATCTAGATCCATGCCATCTTCTCCATCACTTTCAGATTCTTGAGATGTATCAGTCAAACCAAAAGCAACTGAAGATTTTTTCCGAATTCTCTTTCGTGGTTCCAAACCACTAGACAGAGGTGAAGTCTGAAGACTCTTTTTATCTGAACGTGTTGAACGAGGGCAAGACAATGATGAATTTGTGCTGCTGGTTGAATTTTTACGAGCAGGTTTCATATTAGCAAATGCACCAGGTGGCCTTCCACGGTCTATTTTCTTAAGATTAGGAGAAGGTGCACTATTCTGTAATGAAAGATTGTTAAACTGTTTAATTGAAGAAGGAATTCACAATTTACTAAGATAAAATAATATAATGTCTCAGAGAATTAACTCATATGAATTATTAATAGCTAAGTAAATGCTATTTAGGTCACTTTACACAATTTGTTTCCCATTAGTCTGGCAAGGTTACTTTATTAATGCTACATTAATAAAACTTTTGAAGAACTTGATTTATTAATTAAAGCAAAATAATTTAACATTGATATTTTTATGCCATTAAAACAGTTATAATCACAAAATTAATTTCAAAAGATATAAAATTATCACTGCAAAAAAAAAAAAAAAAAAAAAAAAAAAAAAAAAAAAAATCATCAGATACGTAAACATTTAACTCAGGGGTGAGCAAATATTTTTGATTATAAGCTAAAATTGTCTTTTTCAGTACATCATGAGAGATGAGCAGCCACAAAGGGTATGACAATATTGTGTGATGATCTTTTGCACAACCCCTACTGTTTGCCAGGATGCAAAGAGAGAGACCTATCCCTTGTAGAATTATTTTTTTAAATGCTATTTCATGTACTTAATTTTGCATTTTTCCTTTAGATAAGCTCCAGACAGTGAACATGAGGTCATTATGGCTCTGCGCTCTGCATGAAGGTCAACCAGTGAAATGTAAAATGTACACATAAATTTCAAGAAAAATAAAGTCCCCCTCCAAAAAAAAAAAAAAAAAAAAAAAAGGCATTATGATTAAGAAAACATTTTGCTGAATTTATAGCTTTCCATACATTTTTATTTTTATTAAAAGACTGTGTTCACAAGCCAGCTTTTGAAATTTGATTTAGCTACTTTTTTTTGTGGGGGGGGGATACCATTAGATGGGATAACTGTCAATCACTGAATTTCTATAGTCAAGTCCTTTAATTTAAGTAGAAGGGGAATCCAAATTATACACATACACAAAAAAAAAATAAAAAAAAAAAAAAAAAAAAAAAAAAAAATTAAGTGCCCTTAACTTGTTATGTAGACCAAGGATCCTTTACTTTATTACTTAAAAAAAAAAAAAAAAAAAAGCTTTTTTAATATATATTATAACATATGGTATACATCTAATGCTAACAGCATAATTTAACAATTAAATTTTACTGCAGTCGTGTTCCAGTATCTTACATTCTGAGTGCATTACAAACAGTGCTCACACTTATTCATGGTAAAATCTTAATACTTATTACATATACAGAAGCACAATTGTATTTCATCACCATATAAAAAAACTAGTCTTAAAAAATGAAGCTATTTCAGGGTTTGTACATATTTCTGCAAATGGAAATTAAGGATTTTTAAGGATCATTGATGAAAAAAATTAAGGAACTACCAGCGGATTTTTAAGGATCATTGATGAAAAAAATTAAGGAACTACCAGCGGATTTTTAAGGATCATTGCTGAAAAAAATTAAGGAACTACCAGCAGAGGGTATTATAGCAACAACTCATAACAAAATTTTCCAGATATTTTAGCTAATTCATCAGCTACATCATTCTTCTCTTTAGCATCTTTTCTAACTTTATTCATTTCAATAAACAAATCAATGCTCTCACTAGTTTCTGCTTCATCTCCTAATTTGTTAATGCTTTAAAACTACATATTTTTGAAGAATAATTTTCTTTATGTAATCATATTCTTTCTCATTAAATTTCCCCTTCATTTTAGGATTTCACATTTAATTGAAAATTTGCATTATTCTAAAGAAGTGCATGTATTTAGGATGTACAGAAGAAACTACCAATTTTATTTCTTGAATACTATAAGTATTGAGAATAAATGTAAAATGATATAAGGTCAAGGCTAATGCCCAAACCATTATGGCAGAATTTTAGAAATTAGTGATGCACTAAGCAACAGAGCTTAAAGATAAGAGATTTTAATTTTTTTTTTTTTTTTTTTTTTTTTTTTTTTTTTTTTTTAAGAATTTAGGACAAACACTAGACAGGATCAAAGAGGACTAACTAAAGACCCACAGAGATAGAGGGGTGGCAAAATGCCTACCCCTGCGTACGGTTCAGTTAGACATATAAGGTAAATCTTTTAAATTGTCAATTTTCAACTTCTTTATTAATAGAAAAATTCCCTTCTACAGATGCTTGTCCAAGTAACAATGCCAGAACTGATTCTGCGATTTTCCACCCAGTGCTTAGTGAAAAGATGAGAAAATAAAGTGAACACACACACATGTTAAGACTTTTTCGGATCAAAAGTAGAAAATTCAAATAACTTTTGTTTTCAGTGTTCTTAGAAAAATAAGAAATTCATTATAAATTTCCTATAAAATCTATTCATTATATGTTGATGCTATGAAGCCATTTTCCATTTTGTCACATTTTTCTATAAATCTTACTTTCAAATTCTTGTAAATCTTCCAAAGTGCCAAGTCTAAAAACCATCCAACTCTGTAAGAGCAAAAAGCCAGATTTTTTATAAAAAAATCAGAAGAGAAATGTGCAAAGTGAATTTTTAGGAGAAAACTGACATACAATTTGAATATTCTTTAACAAATACATGGGAAAACTCTACGGAAAAACAAAAAAGAATACAAATGAAATTAATTTTTAAATAATTAAGATGCTTTTATGCCTTTCCTAAGAAGTGCTTTAGAAATTATGTTTTATAGCATTTGTTATCTTATTTATTTTTTCAAATCAAAATATTTTTAAGATGCCATAATGGAAAATAATGTCAGTTTAAAATCTGAAATAAATTTCGGGGTAGATACGTCACCAGGTTATGCGAATGATGTGAAATGCCAGCTCTCCAGCATTCGTTGAAGAAGATAAAAGGAAGGGAATGTAAAAAATCTTCAATTTTTGTGCCGTCATTTCTGCATCAAAAAAAATTTATCCATATCTCAGAGCATGCATGTAATAGCAAAGAATGTCAGGCCATTGTCAATGGAGGCAGATACAAAATTTTATCAGGGATATGGTGATCAGACTGAGAAGGGTAGGTTGGTCCATACGGCAAATCTCAGATGGCACACACCTGGAACATAACTATAACGGCCCAACAATATGTGGATGATGTGCTGCCACCGGTGACACTCCCCTACCTTCAGGGAATGCCCAATGCCTTTCATCAGCAAGATAATGCCTGACCACATACTGCTCGCATCAGCCAATGTGCTCTGCAAGGTGTACAGATGCTTCCCTGGCCATCGTTTTCTCCTGATCTCTCGCCAACCACACACATTTGGGATCTGATTGAACATCATATGTAGACCATGGCACTGTCGCATTCAGAAGATTAACTGTGGCAAATGGTTGACAGGGAATGGAGAGCCATTCCTCAGGACACTATCTGTAGTCTCACTGACTCTGTACCTAGACATGTTGCTTCATGTTTTGCTGTCCATGGTGGTCCTAAAACCTACTACTGACACTGTTCTCGCTCTGTATTATGCATATCATTTCAAAATAAAGATCACTTATTGTTCATTGTTGTCTCTCTCTGTTTGTTGTGTTTCATCCCTTTCTGGCCATTCCTTCTTGGTGTTGCATTTTCAATGTCAGGTAGTGTAAAAAGGAAAAGTTATTTTGATATAAGATTTTATGAGCTCCTCATTCTCAAAAAAGAAGCAATTTTAAAATGTTTCAATGGACCATGGGTCTTGTGCCCAAAAATCTGAGAATCACACCATTTACATGTATATTAAATAGGAAAGCACTCAAATGATAGATAAATGATAAAAAAACACCACCTTGAAATTGATAATTACACTTAGTATGGCAGTCATAAAAAACAGACAGATATACCAGATGAATAAAAACTAAGGCCCTTTTGCCAACAGTGGCTAAAGTTAAGGACTTAAAAACCAAAAATGGTTTACAATAAAAAAAAAAAAAAAACTAAGAGCAAAGTACTTTGAAGGACTGTATGGACCCTGTATTTCAAATTACAAATCGGAGGGGATTCAGGAATTTTTAAATTTCTAATTTGTATTAAACAATACGTTAAAAATATAATATACAGTCTTTAATCCGGACTCGTCGGGACTTCGGGGATTCCAGGTTATGCAGGTCCTGCATGCATAAACGCATATGCACATGAGTAAAGGTATTCTGCGCATACGTAAATGCGGATATAGATGCGCAGAAAGTTTGTAGCTTTGAGGTCCGGATTATACATCATTCCGGACTATGGACGTCTGGATTAACCCGGTAGCACTCGCGCGGGGTGACTGAGTCACCCCAGCCTCATAAAACCTTTCATTCTGGAATTTCTATTTATCCGCTATGAATCAGCCCTTCAGTAGCTAACTTTTAAACGGTTTTCTTTCAATAGCACCTGCCAGCAGCAGGTGTTTTTCTTTTGTTGGGGAGGAGCAATCATTTCTTGGAACGCTACATGCAACTGGGGTAAACCTGGGAACCCCCGTGACCAGATTTGTTCTGAAATTTCTCACTTTAGCTTCTTGCTTGCATAGATTGTGCATGTGTGCTATACTGTAGTCGTTCGAAAATGGCTCTCAAACGAAAAATGACAGATTATGAAAAAGAAATGGAACACTGAGAATGTTATTGGATACTGTGGAAACTTCCGATGAAGAATGGATATGCTAGTGAAAATGAAGTAGATCAAGAAATTTATAGCAGTCATGACAGCGACAGTGAGTTTGAAGCTGAAAATAAAACGCTTGAATCTAATGAAAAAAGTGACAGTTATATAGGAAAAAATAAAACAGTTTGGAAGAAAAGTAAACCGAATCAGAAGGTAAGAACCAGTTCCTGTAATATTATAACCCACTTACCAGGTCTGAAATCAGTTGCAATAAGTATTATGGAACCAATTGAAAGTTGGGAACTTTTTATGGATTTCAATATTATAAAAAATATTGTGGACTGCACCAATATTTTATTGATAAAATATCCGAAAATTTTCAACGGAGTCGAGATGCTAGGCATACAGATGAAGTGGAGATGAGAGCACTGTTTGGTCTTTATTTATGCGCGGATTGCATAAATTTCTCATGCTAATGCAAAAGACTTGTGGGACGCTGATGGCACCGGAATTGAATTATTCCGAAAGACATGTCTTACAAACGATTCACTTTTCTTCTAAGGTGCTTGAGATTAGACAATGTAAACGATCGCGAAGCTCGAAGACAGTTGGATAAGCTGGCAGCTGTGAGAGATTCTTCAGCGATTTCAATAAAAAATGTCAAGAAATATATTCAGTTAGTGAATATGTTACAATAGATGAAAAGTTGGAGAAATTTCGTGGCCGATGTGCTTTTCGCCAGTATATGCCGAAAAAGCCGGCAAAATCTGGAATTAAATTATTTGCCGTAGTCGATGCCAGGACATATTATACATATAATATGGAAATTTATGCGGCGGGGGGAAACAATCGGATGGTCCTTTCAAAGTTGATTATTCGCCATCTGAGATCGTAAAACGACTTTGTGCTCCATATTTGGATCTGGGAGGATATAACCATGGATAATTGGTTATACCAGTTACCCGCTAGCAAAAGAGCTCCTATCAAAGAAACTCACTGTAGTGGGAACTTTGAAGAAAAATAAAGCTGTAATTCCTGCTGAATTTTTAGAAACAAAGAAAAGAGAAGTATATTCTTCCATGTTGGATTCCAAAAAGACATGACATTAGTATCATATGTTCCAAAGAATCGAAATGTGTAGTTCTTTGTCTACAATGCATCATGATGACACGATAGATGAAAACTCTGAACAAAGTAAGCCAGGAAATAATCCATTCTACAATGGAACGAAAGGAGGAGTAGATACTGTGATGAAATGTCTACGCTTTATTCAACAGCTAGGAAAACAAACAGGTGGCCTTGGTGATTTTTACTGTGTTTGAACGTGGCTTGGTATAAACGAACGCGCGAGTGTCACTTATGTCTACTAAAAATCCTCCCTTGCAGTATAAAAAGTAGACGAATGTTTTTGAAAACATTGGCATTATCTCTCGTAAACCCACAAATAAGAGGAGATCAAAATTGCAAATGTTACCCAGAGAATTACGAGAGAAAATGAATCAGAATTTCTCAACAGAAAGGAATGCCGTTTCTGAAGAGAACTTGCCAAAGAGAATGAAGCTTGGTAAAGGACGATGTACAATATGTCCTCGAGCTAAGACAAAAAAAACAACAATTTCTTGTATGAAATGCCAAAATTTTACTTGCAAGGATCACTCTAATTATGTTGTGACAAATGTGTTAAAATTCAATAAAGGTATGTAACTGATTTTATTTTGTAATTGAGTAAGTTTTTCCTATAAACATTAGTAGTAGAAATTAACGTAAATATATTTTCAAATTAATATTCATGCTTTAGAATATACTAAAAAACTGTATTGTATTTATACCTTTTCAATTATTTGCACTTAAGTTTATATGTGTATATTGAATTAAGCTTAAATTATCGGTGGGGTTATACAGGTACCCCGCGCGACCAAAATGTGCTCTGTTTAGCGCGCGCCTTCCACCGGGTTAAAGACTTTTGACTGTATACATATTTAACCCAAAAACTTCTTATAACATGTTTTATTGTTATATCTATTTTGCTGTGAGAGACTGGAACCAATTTAGTTATATTTAGCTGATGCAAAAGTCTTTACATTTTGATAAAAAATAGATGAATTCAATAATCTAAAACTGCAATTTAAAAACATTTGCACAAAATTAATTAAATAAAATAAATCAAAAACATTAATATGTATTTTTTTAACTATTATTATTTCTTGAGCAATAATGTGAATTTAAAAGTCACACAGTTTGAAAACTCCACAAATGAAAGCAGATACAGACAGGTATAAGAATTTTTGCTACTTAAAAAGTGCTGCGAACTTAGCTGTCAATTTGGTCACAGGAAATCATTTAAAAATAAAACTTTATCTTTAAGGCATATATTTTGCATTGCAAAATTTATCTTATTTAACAGTTGCTTATATACTGATAAAATCAGACTTGAAACATCGAAGATACAGTCAAAAGTCTTTAATCCGGACTTGTCGGGACTTCGGCGATTCCGGATTATCGATTTTTACGGATTATAGATCATCAGTTTAAATCTGGTAAGATGGCATGCAGAAATTATAAAATTAAATATGAAACCGTAATTTATAAAATAATGAGCAATTATGATCTAAAGGGTATCAAAATTTACCAAAAAAGAAGCTTAATATTTATTTGTTTACTTAATTAAACATTTCTTTCAACACGCGCATGCATAAAGCATACCTTATGCATAGCCGAAATTAGAAAATTGCAACCAGAAAACTATTTGATTTGTATTCGTGATATTTATAATGACGAGGAATTTGATTTAAATCATATCAAAGATGGAGTACACGCGCAGAGCAGCGTGAAATTGATAAACAGATTTTGGAACGGCTAGATAAACAAAGGATATGCCTTTACCCATTTTTTGTAGCAATTCATTTTTTGTTTGATGGACATCGAAACATACTTTCGTTTTCTAGATCCTTTAGGAGCTCCAGCATCGGAAATTCTATTTGACATAATTGAAAGTTCAAGCTTACTTTTATAAAATTGCTCTTACAGTCTGCAAAAAATAATAAGTCGGATCCAATTCGAAGATTAAGGAACAACGCAATCATCAAAATTAACTGAAATAGATAATTAGATAATTTTAGCTTATACCGTCCGTTACACATTAAATGCGCACGCAAAAACATATTCTGCACTTGCACAGACACATATACGCAGTCGTAAATGTCTTGCGCGCATGCATAAAACGCCTATGCGCATGCGCCAACGCGGCGCATGAGCAGAAAGATTTTAGCTTTGAGGTCCGGATTATAGATCATTCCGGATTATGGGTGTCCGAATTAACGACTTTTGACTGTATATTTTATCTTAATTTTCCTTCATGAAACAATAAATGCGACAAATCACATTTTATTTACATTTATTTTCTAAAAGATGCCAATGCTAAAGATTTTCATACTGCTAAGAACAATATTTGTATTTTCTGATGTCAGTACTGTTGAAAGTACAAATGGGCTATTTCTGCATATACAAAATTACAGAAGATTTAAACTGCAAGAGCACAGCTGCAAAGGGCTGTATAGCTATTTTTATTAATAAACAGACAATGTAACAACCATAAAAAATACACAGATATGCTTTGCAAAGGTGTCATATTGAAGTTTACACAAAAATAAAGTAGCCATAAATAAATTCATAAAGAACTTCTTTCCAACATTTTAAATAAGAATACAATATTCAAATGAATGAATCAAATATACAAATCTATAATAGAATATATATATAATAGAATTATTTTATATGACTGAACAATAGCTTGATTTAAAGGCAAAAGCAGTCAACCAACAAAAAATTGCTTTTACTTCACCACTGATAAGTAAAAACACTCTAGCGTAAACATCAACCAGGTGGAAAGGGACTAAGAAAACCCAGATATTGGACCCAAGATATCAGCTATCCAAAATTCCATGAAAAAATAATAATAATAAATAAATAAATAACAAGCTATTTATAAAAAATTTTGATCCTATTTTTTTAACATTGTTAACAACATATTTGTGTTGCAATGAAAAGATTAAAGATGCACTCTTTCCTCATTGCAAAACCATAACTTTTTTTTACAATTGAGCCTTTTGATGTAGAAGAATGCACTGCAGAAACTTTAAACATTTTAATTTCCTCTTAAATAAATTTAATAAAAATTAAGAGTGTCATATTCTATACTTAACAGTGACTAGTATGTACAGAAGAATAGAAATTTCATCACACACACACACACACAAACAAAACACCCACTCCCCCCCCAAAAAAAAACTAAAAATTTTTAAATTTTTAAAAATAACTTTATAGATGTTCTTACCTTGGGTTTCTTATACAGACTTTATTAAATAAATATAAAAGTAATACATTTGTACTTATTATTTTAGACTGAGAAACAGTTTTGTTTTTACATATGTCAATACCAATTATGACTTAATGCAAACTTTAATTTCTTTGCAATGATTTAATTCCTGCTTAAAAAATATGAAAACAACAAATACAATTAAGCAACAACCTGCAATGGAGTATGTATATATAAATTCTTCCCCTTCCTTCAAAAAATGCACAGTAATTGAACTTAAAATCAACAACACTAAAATGTCACAGTTACAGTCACAGTTCTAACACAAGTTTACTACTCTGATGAATGGGAGGCAAGAACATTATTAGCTCAGATTTAGATAAATATGTGCAAAAATAAAAAATATAACTAAAGTTACAGTGAAATAAATAAAATGATTCATGAAATAAAATATACTAACCTTTGAATTCATTTCAGACTTCTGCTTACTGCTATTTATAACAGCAACAATATAATTTTTTCGTACCCATTCATCATATCTGTGATGAGAAAATTTTATTTTAAAAGTAGAAAAGCATAAAAACAATATTAATATATTGAGATAAAGAAAAAGTTGCTAAAAATACATATGGAATAATCTTAATAATTTTTAAACTATAAGTCCTTTTTTAAGTACCTTCATATTTTGCATTTGTAACAATATTATTCATTTCAGTTCTTAATTTATTTCATTCAAACCCATTTATAAGACATTACACTAAGAAATTTATAAATCAAATGTAATTGCCTAATTTTTTACTATCCAAATTATGAAAATTTCTATCAAAAGCCTTTAACAATAAGTATAGAAGCTTAATTTTTAAGGTAAAAAGAAAGCAATAAAAGATATTTGCACACTACATATATATATATATATATATATACACTTATATAGCAATAGCAGGGATTTCTCTGCAAGTTTGTTAAATCTTTCATGAGATCACATAAAAATACTTTTTCTCCAGTACTGCTAAACTAATACGCAGATATTTTCTCAAGGGGGAGCAAAGGTCATTCTTTTTTCAAACACTACAAAATTTTTAGAAAAGTGTTTCAGTTTCCAGTTTAAAACATGACACTGTAAATTTATTGCAGTTAATTATATAATTGTTTTGAATATGCAAATTTCTCAAACAGTAAAGTATAAAATTATCTGTAATACCATATTTTACTTAACTGCATTTACAAATTCAGTGCAGGCAGGCATATAGCTATATTTCATAAATTAATCAACCAATTTTTTTCTCCGTACATAACCATATTTATGGATTAAATTACAAAACGAAGAAATTTGGGACGGGATTCAAAATAGTGAAAATAAAGCGGACGAAGATGACTTTGAAATTCTTTTAATGATAAATTTATTCGAATTTAAAAAAAATAATACATAAATAAAAGTCAATCTGATTTTGAAAGTTCTAAATATAATGAATAAAAAAGAGACAGCAGATGCTTTCACTGATTATAACTGAATGTTTGAGATACCTACCACCATATAACACCTAATTTCTATAAAATAAGATATGAGATTTATGTCTGGAGAAGGTGGATTTATTCCCAGACAAATTGGATAACTTAAACTGGACAAACGCTTCCAGAGACATGTTAACAGGGAGTGCTCTATACTGTACAATAACTCTTCAGCAAAAAATAATTATCATAGTCCTTTGTACTTAACTCTGAGTGGCCCATCATTTTAGATCTGCTTAAGAGTTTGTACAATTAATTATTTTAGTCCTAGTTTTCATGAATTTTCATTTATTAAGATAATATTTAGATCATTTAAGTAAGAAAGGAAGAAAAATATTTTAAATAATACCATAACATATACCAAATGGCTAAAAATCTCATCACCAAGATAAAGGCAGTCATGCCACTCAGTGTTTTAAAAAAAATTTTAATAGAGCTGGAATTATAATAGAAACCAAAATTGCAGAAATCGTTGAGGTCTGATGGCTCACAACAGCCTTTTTTTTGGGGGGGGGAAGGGGTCAATACTGTTAAATTATATATCAATGAAAAGATAATACAGAATATAATTGCACCAGTTTATTCAATTTAATTCCATCAAAAGTTAATTTAACCACTTGTACCTAGCCAAATAACTCATAGAAGTGAAAGGGAGCACCAGACTTTCACCATTGGTCATACAGATATTGTTCCACCTCACTAGCTATGCAATACCAGGGCTAAAGGGCTAGTTCACCAGCTTCTCGCGGCTGAAACCGAAAGAAGAGACTGATGACGTAGTTGGATTCGCTTGGTCAGTTCTGCTGTTCAGTTTCTTAAGCATTTGCTTGAATCAAAACGCGTTGAAAAAAGTTTAATAACCAATGAGCCAAGATTTTAGCTCTGAAATTGCAATATAAGGCATTTAATAAGAACAGAAATGATTACATCAACAAATTAAACTCTAAATGAGTAAAACATAAGTAAAAATGCATAAACATAATTTTTAATTAACACATAGCGTAAACATAACTAATTTTTTAGGTAGAGTTGTACCCTAAAATGTAGTAATTCTTTCATAATCATCTTTTTATAATGTAAATAGTAACCCACCGATAACATACGTAATTTCTACATTTACAAAGAATCTTTTTGCATTAAACTATAAGTTAGCCGCAAAGTAATTTCATTATAGAAATATAAATAAAAATATGCAATAACATTTGAGAATACAGCAAGACATAACATCTATCTAATTAAAAATTAGTAAACGCGAATAATAGATTTCATAAACATTAAAACAAACAAAATTTCACTTCTTCCATTTTTGCTTTTCAATTGCGTTGATAAGTAGTAGAATTTGTAAGCTTTGCAATGTCTATTATGAAAGCATTTTATGGAACATCAGTGTATTATTTAACGGCAATTACTCAAAAATAATGAAAATATTTAAAAATGTATTTATATATTTTGGAATAATAGCATGTATTCTTACATTTTAAAAGTAATGCTCTGATACTAATTTATGTTATGCAGAAGTTCATGGTTATTTTATATAGTAAAATTTAGCAGTCTAAATTAGTATGTAATAATATATGATATTTTATATAGTAGTCCAAATAATTAACTGAAACGTGCATAAATTAGGTCACAAATAAGTGATCATAAACAAAGTAAGAATCAAATTATATTTTGGTAAGAATAATATGAACATTTACAGTTTTTCATTAAGTGAATAATAAACAAAGTATGATCAAATTATTATTTTTGGTAAGAATAATATGAATCAAACTTAATGATTTTTTTCCTATATATTTGTTCAATATCTTCTATAAATCTTCATCATTTATTTGCTTTCCGGTCAGCTTTTCTTGCCGAACAGGGTTGCATTCCTATTCAAGTGCCGAACCCTTATAATGTCGTAACGGCAAATAAATTATTACACTCTATCATGGAGGGAAAACGTTTCTCAAGTTCAGAATGAGATTCTGAATGACTCTCTCCCTTTCAAAAGATGCCATGCAACAGACGGAAACATTTTCCATTTCATTTCGATTCCTCCAACTGGGATGGTACAGTATCCTCCTTAGATAATAAAAATTCCAATTTGAGTCTTAGGAATACAAGAATTTTTTTGCTATTTTCACCCACGCAGCTCTTATCATCACACGATATGCAATTAACCGCCACTAAGCGAGCGATTGTTTAGTATAGCAGATATATCTTTCGTTGAAAATAATTCGTTCCCAAGGAGTGATGTACATTCCATAGCTGTCTGTATATTAATCATCTGTATAGGAAGACAAACATTTGGTTTTTCATTGAGAAAAGTGTTTATAAAGCTTTTTGTCAACTATGCTTCAACTTTTTCACATCTTTACGTCATTAGCATTTGTCTTACGACAATTTGGCAATTTTTGCCATAGCAACCTTTCAGGCGAATTATTATGTCTGAGGAGATGGATGGTCATTAAAAGTCCTAGACCTCAATCTGGCTGAAAAGCTTCTATAATTTGAGTCGTCTGATGTAAAATAATATTCACCTTATAGTTTACTCGTCAAATAAACCGAAAAGCGAATTATCGGTATGAAATACTTTCGACAAGTGCATTGTCTTCTTTCGCATACTCTGGATCAAATCTTGTTTAATCTCATTTAATTTTTTTTGTACTTCATAATAGCTTCTCTTGAAGCACTTTTCCAGCTTCTTGCTAGGGGTCCTGTCCCCCTATTCATGTCCAATACATCAACCATTGAAAAAATTACTTGTTGCCGCATTCCCAGTCAATGCATAGTGCTTAGCCGGGTGGAGGAAAATAGGCTTTGCTGGTGCTACTTTCTGCTCGTCCCTTTTAAGATAAAATGAGGGGTTCGGTTATCGCCCAGTTAATTTCTCCGATATCGTATTGAGGCTTCTATATAACGTCTTTGTTATCATTGGACCATTTCCGCTTAAACCTTATCCCCAAATGTTTCTCAAAGCTTATGTATGCGGCATATCGCGAAAACCCATATTTGGTGCGACTGGGACTGTAAAAGAAAGATATCTGTTGAATGAATTTTTCCAAAGGGTCTGATACCTCCCGGTCAGATACAAGTGCTTTGACTCGAAGCCCAGATGATTCAGTCAAACAATGGAGACGAGATTTTCCTTCATGCCGCTCAATCAAAACTGGCTTTTCCATTGCGAATGAGTCTCAACCAACAAACGGCGTCGTTTAAAGGACTAATATTATAATTTGAATCATAACAGGTCTTGAATCTTATGACTTATCGAAATTAATAATGTTAGCAATATTATTCCTTGTTAAAAACATTCATCAAACATAATTGTCGAACTTGCTTTATTCAAAACATCCTGCAACATCCTGCTCAAAAACATACATTCAATCATTATCATTCTGACAAAAACGTTGTTCCAATCGGAAAATACAGTTAAATAAAATTAACGTGGGGTCCCTTCGGGCATCCTATTAGTTACGACCCGGAACTTAGAATTTATGAAAAAATTAAATCTGTAATATTTATGTTTTAGGTTCGAAAGTCTTAGCTGTATATGGATGCACTGTCGGGTTCTATTCTTTTCCGTGTCCTGTTTAGTAATATGCGGGTGTTGTTATCGTTATCCAGTAATACTATGTCATCACATCATCATCGTCTTTTCGATTCAGCTGACACTGCCATGACTAATTGGTCACATGAGCTGTCTACTAAGGAAATGTCCTTCACCTTCTCTTCTATTGAAGCACTCATAGGTACCTTGTCAACTCTGACTCCAAGGTCCCGATATTTTGTTTGTTTGGTATCTCCAATTGATTTAGGTATCTTTCAAAAGACTATTTCTCCTCGTTCAAACGTTTCAAGAATTGCTTTTTGTCCAATTTGCTTTCTTTTCTCGCAATCTCAATCTCTTTTAGAGTCTTCTGCAAGATTACTGGATTCTCCCGTCATTTAGTCTTCATCTGTAATCATACTCATCATTCGTCGTTAAATTTGGTAATAACCATGAGCATTTCGAGGAGTTTTTTTGTAGTCTTACTTATATATGTTTAGATTCTCGCATTCCTTAATCTTTGTCCAGGCTCTGATCGGATTTCCGTA